CAGAAAACATCCCATTTTTTTTTTGAGATTTTCGGGGGGGTTTCTGAAATCAAACAACCAAAAACAAAAAGTGCAGAAATAAGCTTGGGTTGCCTCCCAAGAAGCGCTATTTTAAACGTCGTGTGTCTGACAATACCTCATAGGCTCTCAAACTGCAAAGACTGTAGTGGGGCCCTAATCATCAACGTATCCAGCTTTTCCTCAACAAATGCCATTAGGTAACGCAAATTCTTAAACTCTTGAACCCACGCAGTAATCACATGGTCTTCATGAACATCATCAGCAAACAAGGGTAGAATGACCCTCACATCATCCGGTTCAAAGTGCATACAAACACTTTCTTGCCTCTCTCAAATGTACCGTGAAAATTCGGAGCACATATTCTTGACTTAGTATCACTCTCCATGAAGGCATCCCAAGAGGGGTAAATTTACATGTGGAGTGGGATACTGGGACTTCTTCAATATGGACATCATCTACCACACTACCACACTGTTGGAGCTCATGATTATCTTCTACCAACTCATCTTCAATACTCAAACCTACTCCAATGGCTTCATCAATGTCATGACTTGATATGCACTAGTTAGTAGTGCATAAATGTATGTTTTTATATTTGTTTTGTGTGGATTGTTTACCATTTGTATGTAGTTGTAAACATTTGTTTGCTTTTATTTGTAAGTGTTTTTAGCTTTTATTTGTAAGTTAGGAAGTATTGATAGAGTAGTTGGCAAAGAAAAGGAAGAAAAACAAGGAGAATGCTGCCCAAGAATATATACCCGGCCGGGTAGAAACCTTCACCCGGTCGAGTTTGAGTTAACATACGCAATCTCCAGGAAGGAAACTGCTTGGCCCGGTCGGGCCCTATACCTCACCCGGTCGGGTGAGACTTGACCGAGGACATCCAGACATGCTGAAGAACACCAGAACATGGAAAATATTTGATGTTGACCGGACCCGGTCGGGTGGATACTCTACCCGGTCGGGTACCCGGCCAAAGGTTTTGAAAAACACCTATAAATAGCACACTTTTCCTTCGCTATTTTTCACCCCTTCTTCCATACTCTTAAGTTCAGTTTAGAATAGTATTTCTTTTATATTTTTATAGCATGTTTAGTCTCCAAATGAGGAGCTAAACTTCCATATCTTGGTTTTGCTACTTTGAAGCTTAATGAATTGTAAGTTGTGAGTTATTTTCTTTAATCTTCTTCCTTGAATATTAATTTTTCCCTTAATACTATCTCTATATTAATGTTGGGGAGTGTTGCTAAGATGACAATTAGTTAACATCTCGACATTAGTTATAGTAGTATTTATTTTCTTCCTCTATATTAATGTTGGGGAGTGTTGCTAAGATGACAATTAGTTAACATCTTGACATTAGTTATAGTAGGATTTATCTTCTTTAATATTCTTCCTTGAATATTAATTAATTCCTATTCATATATCATATTAATATTTTGAGCATTACTTAAAGGATCAACTAGTTTTGTTTCACATATTAATTAATACTAGAATCGATCGACGAATACGCTTGTTAGTCGTTCGGTCGTTTCATGGTAGTAAACTTGGATTATTAATGCATGTGTCTCATGGTTAATAATCTAAGGGGAATTAATTATATTGATTAAACCAATAAACCGCTTGTGTTAAGGTTATCAATCTCAATCGTTTTCATCTTAAGTTTATTGCTACTATCGGGTTAATATACGGCGCGTGTTCTATATTGACTCGGTAGTAAGTTTTATTAATGAACGCGTCTCGTTATTAATAACTACCCTCGATGAATTGGATATACTCCTCGATTGAGTATTCGAGAGGAAATAGTTAAAGATATAACCGGGATCGACGAACATTTCATTAAGTGGATAAAAGCAAAACCAAGTCCTCATCTCTATTATTTAAACTCATATAAGTCGTTCATCTTCGTATTTAATTAATTAAAGTCAAACACATCTAAAAAACCCCTTGTTACTATTTAATTAAAAAGAGAAGTATTCCTTTCCCTGTGGATACGAACCTTACTACGCTAATATTACGTATAAGTGTTGTATTGATATTTATTTTGAGTGCACACCACGACAAAGTGCTCGTCATGACTGGTCTGCTTAATACCCTGATCAGATGTTGAGACTAATGGTAAATCAAACGGCTAGAGAGTTTCTTTATGAAAATCATGGTGATCCATGTCTTCATCACTTTCAGATTGTACTGTTTGAAATATTTGCATGCATTGCATGGATTCTTGGTACACAGACTCGCGACTACTCTCTTTTTGTTGAGGTTCAAACAGAGGTGGGACTTCAAAAACATCTATAAGTGTATCATTCATCATATTCCCACAATCGCAGTCTGACTCAATCCCATGATCATCCCTCTTGGTCTCCTCAGGTTGAGCTTCTGCCGGCTGCCCCACCACGTTGATTAGATTCCGCATTTGGTCTGTGAACTGCATGAGTGTCTCTTCCAAGCCAGACAACTTCTTTGAAAATGTCTCCTTAAGTTGATTATGTGGCTTAGTACTTGGCGGAGATGTATGAGTGGTTGAAACATTTGTGTTCCTAAATTGTGGGGATGAAGATGTGGGGTATGCAGTTGCCCAGTAAGGATGGTCATTAGGAGGTTTAACAGGGCAAAAAGTTATATGGTGACATCCTCCACAAAAGCAACAAATGAAATTCTTAGGCAGAAAGGGTTGCATGGTTGGAGGGTATGAATAAGACGGCTGAAAATTTTGTTGTGTTGGAGAGTAATACTGATGAGGAGGGTAATACTGATGGGGAATGTAAGGAGGATAGGGCGTATATGGTGAATATTCCGTGGAGGTTTGAGAGAATGGTGTTCCTCCACGAATTGAGTTGAATGAGTTCATCTCACGCCTCTTTAAAAATTACCCTGAAAGGTTAGCACAAAAAAAACCTACAGAAAAGCTAAAACAAGTCGCTGGAATTAATTAACCCTTAAAACCGACACCATCCCCAACAACGGCACCAAAAACTTATGTGAGTTTTCTCGCACTTAAAAATGTAGTAATATAGTGGTGAAGGACGAGTATCGTCTCCACAGGGACGGACAAAAGGGAAATAAGAATTAACTAAATTCAGCGATTAAAAAGAAAATAAAATAAAATGCAATTGTGCGAGATTTGAATGGTTTGACAATTAAAATGTGATTAAACGAATAAAAAGCTTGGTTTCTCTCTAATTAATGACAAAGGGAATAGGGATTGATTCCGGGGTAACCAGATTTCAGACACATTAGGCTTAATTACATGAAATTAATTTAATTGAGCCTAGCTAATCATTACTAAGTTCTTACCGCTCTCGCGGCGTAGAGTACAATAATTTAGGGAACAGGCTGATCTCTCATGCGACAGGATCCTAAATTATTGCCAAGACGAGTGAGCTTACGGCCCCTTAATCGCTACTAATCTCTTAGCGAGCGATTAAGTGTGAAGGTGTCTTAGAATAAACTAGATCTCTCTTAATTTATTCTACAAGCAATTGTAATTCTAGCGGCTGTTCTATGTTACAAGTGATATCAATTAAATTATTCAAACACAAATTAAACGACATTCATGCAATTGAAACCTTAAAGAAACTAGTCATACATCATGAATAACCCCTTCATCAATCTCAAATCCCTAATTAAACTACTCACAACTCATAATTGATAAACCAAAAGAATTGGGATGAATAGAAATGATTGTCATTAATTAAAAAGATGGAACTTACAAATAATCCTAGGGTCTTGAACAAAATAGCGGAAAACAACGTACAAACTCGTCCTTAGGCCTCTCTCTAAATTCTGTCACCCCAAAATAGGAGTATGGAGGCCTTATTTATAGAAAATAGGAGAAATGAGCCTCAAACTAGGACTGTCGGTGCACGCTCGGCAAGCGTGGTGCTGAGGGTAGCTTGTTAAGGGTTTGTTTGGCCCGATTATACATCCCGATATTGTCCAGCCCGATTCGGGCTGAGGGGGCGTGTTGAAGCATTTGTCCCACACCGGAAAGCTATAAAACAATTAAACACTATATAAGTCTTTGGGCTACTCCTCCTATCAGGTTGACCTTTTAGGATGGAACCCCGTGTGTTAACGGTCTAAGATGGAGGTGTTTAACACAAGATATACTTCAAGTATGGTAGTAGTTGAAATATCGTTGAAGATGAAGGCTAATACTTCCATTACAATTTACAAGTGTTTATTGTCATGTTTTACTTTGTTGGACATGAATATTGGATATTGAAGGAATTTTTACGATGGGTTGTCAAATTAAGGATGATATTACATTAATGCGGTGCATTCTTAATTTATATTAGCTAAGAACAACGGTACCCAATTAAAAAATGGGGTATCATACCTATGAATACCGTAGAATTTACCTTTATATTATTATATATTATATACTAATACTGTGTATAGCGTATATGATTTCTATTATTAAATGAACATATAAGATCATTAATTTTGCCAAAATAGGACTATTGCCAAAATAAAACAATAGGTATGTGTTTTTATACCAATTGTTTTACCAACAAATAGGACTGAATCGACTGATAAAACTTATTTTTTATGGCTGAATTGCCTGATTTTTTTGAGATGTGAAAAAATTTATATTTAAATTATATATTTTTTAATAAAATAAAGAAAAATTTATACAAAATATAGCTAAAATGACCTTCTACAGTAACTTCAGTTGATTTAGCGAGAAAAGTAACACAAACTTACTTATTTTAATTATGATACAATTAAGTGTGTGAAATCAAAAGTAACATGTTTAGTGTATAAGATGATCTATAATGTTGATATTTCAAAAAACATGGTCACCAAATTGTTCTAAAATAGCAAAGCTTCCTTCTTAGTATTATTATTAATTACTACTATTATTATTCTTATTATTATTGTTATTATTATGATTATTATTATGTTTATTATGATAATATCATCATCATACATATATATTCTATACAATAGAAACATAAAACATGACATATCATTAATTGAAGCTTAAATAAAGTGAGATCGCAAGATGAATGTTACATGCGCAAGACATAGCTTGCGTCAAGACAAATCAATTGAAACCTAACCGGGGATGAGAGTTGGGACTTGTAGTTTAGTAGAAGCCCTACCCATACATATACTATTATTATCATTATTATATGTGGAGTACTACGTACGTATTTAATTCAACCAATCCGACTTCATAATAGTTTATTTATGGAGTATTTAATAAATATGCTAGACTGTATATCGATGTGTATATGGGGTACGTATTGGTTGACGAACGGCTATAAATGATAATCTGCATCATTTTCGATAAGGAGCGCGCATGATAGATATGCTAGAGAAAATTTTCGATCAGTGAGCAAGGTCGGGACTTTGAACTGGGGCAGCAGCGGTCTTCATTGACCACCGCGGTGACTGTGACCGGCCGGGCCGAGTCGGACGCGAACCATGATGCTGGGACTGAGGTGGGGTTGAGTGACCGGCGCCAGGACTGTGACCGGGGTCAGTCGGTCTGAAATCATCCACATGTGAAAACGTGGCAAAAGCGCGCGAAGCACGGGGTGGGGTTGAGTGACCGGCGCCGGGACTGTGACCGGGGTCAGTCGGTCTGAAATCATCCACATGTGAAAACGTGGCAAAAGCGCGCGAAGCACGGGGTGGGGTTGAGTGACCGGCGCCGGGACTGTGACCGGGGTCAGTCGGTCTGAAATCATCCACATGTGAAAACGTGGCAAGATCGAGCGAAGCAGGGGGTGGAGTTGAGTGACCGATGCCGGGACTGTGACCGGGGTCAGTCGGTCTGAAATCATCCACATGTGAAAACGTGGCAAGATCGAGCGAAGCAGGGGGTGGGGTTGAGTGACCGATGCCGGGACTGTGACCGGGGTCAGTCGGTCTGAAATCATCCACATGTGAAAATGTGTCAAAAGCGCGCGAAGCCCGGGGTGGGGTATTGTGCCCTATGCCCGGACTATGGCCGAGGGTAGTCCATGTGGAATCATCTCCAAGCGGCACAGCCGGTGATGCTGCAGACCCCTTTTCATTGGGGGCGTAGGTTAAAGCTCTACTTCCCACTGCTGTTTGGAAACCAAAGGAAAACACAAATGCCAAAATGATAGTGCAAGATACAGCCAGCTTTAAGTTGTTATAAACTTCAGCCATTGAATTGATGAATATATTACTGCAATTGGTTTGTATCTGTATGTATGGCTCAATTAGCTTGTTTGCTTTTCTTGCTGATATACAAAGCATATACTTGTTCATAGTATATATAGACAGCTTCAAAGATACTGCAGCAGTAAGTGATGCTAGTAGCTGAAAAATTAAAGGAATATTCCAAATACTACAGAAAAGTAAAAAAAAAAGTTACAGGCCTTATTGGACGACCCAGGCTTCACCGCCCTTCTCATCAATCATGATACACGCACCTAGCTAGATCCTTAATTAGTGGGAAATAGATCACTTAGTATTTCTCTTAGGTTTCTTAATATAGACATTTTAATTTAGTTATATATAAGCAAGTACTAAGTTGGTTTTTTTTATTTTTGAGAAACTATAAGTTGGAAATTATTCATGCATGTTGCACAATCTTTTAATAGCCCGTAGCTAAGCTAGTAAAAACAAGTTTTTGAATAGTTTATGAAAAAAATTCCGAGTTATGAATAAAGTATTTGATCTAAATAGGACTAAAATATAAGAATAATGCAAGAATAGGACCTTGTGTTTTTTTATTCCCAAAATAGGAGCACCTTTTATTTTATCCCAATCTTACCCTCCTGATATTTTAATCTTCCGTATCATGTATATCCACTCCCAGCCACTTCTTTTCTCCTCTCTCCTCATTCTTATCTCTTCTCCTGCTTGCATCTCCATCACATACGGATATCTCTTTGCATCTCCCTTCTCTTTCTCTCCCTGCAGGACATCATCCATCATATTTCCTCCTCCAAAAATTTCCTACCGATCTAAAAGTACTCCATCTCTGGCAAATTACAAAGTTTTAACAGCGATTTTTCCTTCTCAACTCCGACCGTCGTACTGGTGGGCGGCGGCGATTGTGTAGGTAAGCATTAATTTTTTCTTCTCCTTTCATTCTTCTTCTTTTTCTTCTTAATCTTCTTCTTCTCCTCCTTCCTTTTCTTTTCTTTCCCTTCCTCTTCACCCTTTTTTCCATTGCTCTGTTAGAGAGACTTTCATTTTGAAAATTTGGAGTTTTTTTACAGTTGAAAATATGAACTTGGGGACTAGAAACTTTTGAATTAAGATGATGTTTGCTTGATTTTTATTTTCTTTTTGAAAAATTAAGTTTGTCCGTATATCAATTATATTTTTTGAGTTCATTTTACAACCCATTTATGACTTGATTTTTGCTTCAACTTTCTTTACCCTTTCCAGTTTTGTATGTATTAAAAAACTCTTTATTTCTTCTTATTTTTCTCTTTCAATTTTTGACATTCATTTCAATCAATTTTTTGTAACTCTTCAAATAACTTATATTATTTGAACCCCAAATTATCATAATCACTATTTTAAGGTAATTGTATGGCATTAATGAAGTATTTCCCCTTTGCAAATACAATACAATGTGAAAGTATTATCTCGACACTTATTTCCATTTTTATGGCACTAACGGTACAAATATGGCAATATACTATTTCTTTGGAAATACAATAATGCCATGTTTTTCAATCTGAAAAATGTCATTTTATTAAAAAAAAATTATTTGTTCTTATTTTTCTCTTTCATTTTTTGACATTCATTTCAATCAAGTTTTTGTAACTCTTCAAATAACTTATATTATTTGAACCCCAAATTATCATAATCACCATTTTAAGGTAATTGTATGGCATTAATGAAAATATTCCGCCTTAGCAAATACAATACTATGTGAAAGTATTATCTAGACACTTATTGCCATCTTTATGTCACTAACGGTACAAAGATGGCAATATACTATTTCTTTGGAAATACAGTAATGCCATGTTTTTCAAACTGAAAAATGTCATTTTTAAAAATCAAGATTGCAATAATTCTATTAAGATGCCACTTCAACTTCAAGATACCACTTCCATGATAACATGCCAAATCAGATATCAGATCTCGGATTTGTCGTAATAGGTGGTGGATGAGGCCACCGGCGATGTCTGTGGTGGCGGCGGCGACGCAGTGGAGGCGGTGGCAAGCTTAGAGATGGTGTCTATGGTGGTGGCAGATGCATCAGCTGGTGGTGGAAGAGTCATACCGACAGCGATGGTATGGGTGGCAACGACAGGTGTTAATTAGAGCCACGGAGGCGGCGGCGGATGATGTGAGCAGCAGAGACGGCAGTGGCGGCAGATGACATGAGCGGAGGCGGCAGATCTCCGACGGCGGAGGCGGCAGATCTCTGGCGGCGGCGGATCTTCGACGGTGGTGGCGAAGAAGGTGGTCATCAGCCCTAGGGTTATGTTGTTTACGGACTAGGTTGCTGTACTGTTAGTTTTTATGTTTTGATTTAAATTATTAATAAAGAATTGAGCTTGAGATTTCATTAAGGGTATTTATGTCAGGCCATCCCTTTTTTACTCCTACTAAACTTTACGGGAAGCTGAAGTCCTATTTTTGCATAATTTGTATGTTTTACTCCTATGTGGGTAATTAACTCGTTATGAATAAGCAAGTCGTAGAGTACGTTTCCCATCATTATAGTATCGGTGTAGCAAGGGCTATATATATTGTGCTGGGTCAATACAAACAATTTTCTCGATAAACTTCTACATGAAATTTTTTATATTCATAATTTAAAAAATTAAAAAAAATGTAGTTGCAACTAAAAATATGGAAAGGTATATTCATAAACTTCTACATGAAATTTTTTATATTGAGGCAGGATAGCATGCATCCCTACCTCTGCTTCTGATTTATTTCTAGGGTAGTAAGGGTACACTATTATATGGAGTATTATGGAATGGGAAAGTGTTTTACCAAAAAAAATGCTCATGGACAAATTTGTGACCAAAACTATGTAGATATACTTTCAAAACTATTGTAAATATACAAAGTATAATTTTAACGCAACTATAATTACTAAAACTTATTAATTCACATTTTCCCACTATCTTTATTTTGACCATATATTAGCGATTATTGTTTCTTATTATTTTTTAATCTTCGTAAAAGAAATTGTAGTTGCAACTAAAAATATGGAAGGGTATCATAGATAAACTTGTGTTGCATGTTAATACTCGAATAGGGGCGGGGACCGCCTAGCCAACAATAATAGGGTCATGAAAAAACACTTAATCGAGCACTCATGGTTCGTTTAACCAACGGACAGAATGAGCATATTAATCCTAAGTCTAAATTAGAAAACTGAGAAGTACATGTGTGTGACTTGACCAAGCAATTATTGAAAGCTTCTGAACTTGAACCTATCACAACAACAACATCTTTTAATTTGAACACCTTCAAAATGAACGCTGCAATTCCAAGATCTATTCCAAAATCAAAGAGTTGAAGATTTACTTGCTAAGAGAGGTCAACCGATCAAACCATCTTCTTAAATCATCCAAGAGACACTAGTTTCTACAACCCCAAGGAAGGCTTAGGTTTACAAAACCCATCCATGCAACTTAAAAAAAAAGTCAATTGTGCTCACTTGAATAACATAAGATATATGGGCTTGGGTTTGACAAAACTTGTGTCCTTTGTTGGAGCGTCAACGATTGATGTTGATGAAAAAGAAAAAGAGAGAAAATAATTCTAAGGCTGAGATCTCGTTTGACTACACTCAACCGAATGCTAGTTATAAGAATTGGGAAATTCCTTCGCTGACGACTATGTATCACTTTTTCCTCCAACAAGTGAGTCTGAGTCTCTGTCTACGGGGGAGAACCATTTGTTTTCTCAAAACTCCAAACTTGATAAACTTTACATTCCAAAGATCATTTGCAAATCTGTGGACCTTCACAAATCATTGGAAATTTAAAAAGTGGTTTTCAAAACACAAAATCAACTACTTTTAATTAAATGAGATTTATCTTCTCAAAAATGTCCCTAGTACAGACACGGCCTCTACCTCCTTTCCCTTTTCAAAGAGTAAGTTCAATGAAAGTTCAAGTTCTTCAAACAGTCAGTGATTTAGCTCTGTCACACACTATTCTTCTTTGTCTTCTTTGATGACTCTAGTTATGTGATTACTCGTGATCACTTTAGAGCTAACTAAAGTTAGCGAGCCTGAGAAGCTTAATTAACTAAAAGGCTAAGACTTCTAAACTTCATTTTGATGTGAATGATGGCAAATCTAAACAGAAAAGAGTTAAATCTTCGGAAATGGCTCAAAATAGGAGCAAAACATAAGATGAGTTCCCAAATAAGAGTTTAATTTTTTATTTCCTAAATAGGAGTTATTAATTAGATGTATCGCTTTTCTTCCGATTATACCCTTTTGTTCCGTCGGATCTTTCTTATCCTTCGCAGGCCTCACACGACTCTTGCACTGATCTCTTCTATGTCATCTTTATCCCATTTCTCCTCCATCTACGATCTCTTCTCTCGCACAACAATCTCGCACAAACAGATCTCGCACCAACAAAGATTTCCTCATCTACAACAAATCTAATGATAATTTTTTCTTCTGCTATCAGCGGCAATCATTTATCACAGGTATCTTCTTCTTCTTCTTCAATTCTTCTTCTTCAATTCTTCTTCTTCTTCTTCTTCCCCTCCTCCTCCTCCCCCTCCTCCTCCCCCTCCTCCTCCTCCTCCTCCTCCTCCTCCTTCTCTCATCTTTTATTTCACTCGTCCGCACATCCTTGTTCTTTTTTGCAGCGTGAACTGCTTGATGATTACAACTCATTTTTTTGCTTAAGCTTTTTGTCCTAGATCCGTTTTAGTCTTTTCTTGAATTCTTACTTTTACTTTTTTTGCTTTTTCAAATTCTCTCAATTTTTGTTTTCATTTAAATTTTCTTTACAACATAATTATAATTTTTAAAATTGATTTCAATCCATTTTTTTGAAAATTTTCAAATGAAGATGAAAATAACTATTGGGATGAAAATATTACCACTTTGCAAATAAATTACTAATAATGCCATATTTTCCATGCGAAACATTATTCAACACGTAGTGCCATTTTATTTTTTTTGGTACATCGCAGTAGTGCCATTTTATTTTTTTTTGTACATCGGAGTAGTGCAGTTTATGACACTAAAGTACTACCAGTGCCATGTTGTTTATATTAAAAATATTATT